GCTGTAGTAGTTCTGGTTTCAAGTGGCTCTGACTGAGATCGTCGTGGACGTTCGTGAAAGCTAGAAGTGGCTTGAGAACTTGGGGGCTGTGGGCTCGAGGTATATCCTGAGTGATAGCGTAAAGCTAAGGGACGACTTTGTCGAGCACTGGTGTCCGGAGTTGGCGTGCGTGAGGTAGGTGATCCTGTGACGATGATCGTAGGCGTAGAGAAGGATTGTTCAGTCGTGGATTGAGGAGTTTCCGTCGAGTCTTGGTTTGACGTAGAAGAGATGGTTGTTTGGGTTGCTTCTGTGGTAGTACAGGTACTGATAGACTTTGGGGAATTTGATGGACTGTGTGTGTCGGATGGGCGATTGCTCATATATTGAAAGAGAAGACAGTTGTGCTTATGCTCAACTCTGACAATTGATAAGGTGTGCTTGTGACGTCGTTGCTGACCGAGTGCCGTCACGAATCTGGTGAGAGAGGCGAAAGAGTGTTGGTGGTACTGTTGATTGGAGTGTTGTTGTCGGTGATGAGACTTCAAGTTGAAGGTTTCCAGATCTTATATCTCCAATCCCTCTTCTCTGGCCCCGGGTTGTGAGTTTATGAAGGACCGGCTCTACGATCACCGAAGGTCGAAAATAGCAAGACTGGTGTCTAAACAGAGGAATTATCGAAGGTTTCGAGCCGATCCCGTGGCGCATAACCAGAATGTGGCTTGTTCCTACACGCTTCGGAGTCAAGCGTGTAGTTGCTCTAGATAGGCTATCCAAGCGTCCGTAGTGTCGGTACTGCAAGCTCGGTATTGTGTCATAAGGTTGTATCCGACCAGTTGGAGAACGTAGTGACACTGCGGCGGGACCGGTGAGCGGGTATCGAGCGTGCACGGAGAGACCCTTTTTAGACGTGTGGCGCCCGGATTATGTCCTTCTTAGGGAGTTGTGTAGACACCGGTAGCGACTGTGCAGCGGGAATACTGTGAGGCTGCTGTCGTCAGATGCTTATTTGAGCCGCAAGCACAACAACTGGCACGTGTATGTAGAGGAAGGTTATGTGTGGTGAGATTGATCCACTTATTGGCGTGCGTAAGAAGAAGTCTTTAACACAATGTGTGATGGACCTGTATTGCAGTATAGCTTGTTAGCGTATCATTCTTCTCTTCGCCGAAGATATACACGATCAAGTTTCCTTCTGGTGTCTTCTCGTATCGGGTGGCTCTCCAAGGAACCACCATGTCTTCACTCTGGTAAGCATTGCAAATAGTCAGGTACGGTAAAGAGCCGGCCGAAGGTTTAACGCGGGTCGTATTCGTGACTTGAGGCGCTCACGCGACTTTGCCGTTGCGCATTTGGCGGGACCCCGGTTAGCGACTACTACGCTCGGTATGGCCGATGGACTGTTTCGATTTGTGATGATCATTTTGGCGCATTTCAAAACTCGATTGGAAAAGTAGGTGGTTAGTCCAATAGAATCGATACCTGCAATGTTCGTGTCGAATGCGCCGACGAGTCAGAGGCACTAACGGTCGCTAATATTAGCTGGTAACACGAGGTGTAGTCACTACGGAAGGATGTTACTCAGCTCCCGCCAAGCTGGCACTCTAGGCCGCGCGCCCGCATCCTGTTATGCAGAAATCTGTGACCCGATCTGTATGCATGAAGTCATCGCCGTCGCATGAAAGGATAGCTACGAGCTGGTGATGTCCAATGAAGCGTGTGGGCGTGGTGTTCGGAGAGTTTGTCAGCGATAGGGTTGCGCTCGCTTGATGAGTTAGTGGATGACCTTTGGCAGGGATGCCAATTTGTGGACTGTTCCTTCCTTCCAGAAGATTACCAAAGGCGGATGCAAGGCACGCCATTCAATGCGACCTTCCACGATGGTGGCCATCTGATCTCAGATATCGGGTTGCTACGGGTCTTAAGGAATTTGGACAGCGGTGAGGATGTCGTCATACAGCCACATATACTGCAGAGCCCGCCCGTGAATCTGGTGCACTTCAAGGAAACCAGTCGGCACACGCAAATCGCACAAGCCATATGCTATTCCCATATTCATCCTAACATGTCCATCGGTGACCAGAGCCAAGAGATCTGACCTCAAGTTGACCGACTTCAGCTGTTGCGGAGATGCGTCGGCCTCCGGGTTAGCCAAGAAGGGCCCTTAATTAGCCTTGACTGCAGCAGATCTCTCTTAATTACCGGACTTTGCGATTGCTTCAAGTGAGTGCTTAACATATGCTTACACAATCGCGTTTCGCAACAGGACAAGTTTGGTATTTGTGTTCACCGCGAAGCAAACTTCCCCTGCTTACTGAATGCGTCCATGGCTAATGTAATCGTCTGCGATATTCATCGAAAGGCGGCGAGAAGCAATCGCGGGTGGGTGAGTCACCGCTCGAAGACGTATGGCATACACAGCGCCGATATACAAATGAATCGTACACACTGCACCGCGGTATTGACCAGACGGGGACCTGAACGTACGTCTTCATACTTACACTGTTTACATGTTAGCCGTTGCAATGACTACGACTGCGCTCCAGGCTGCTCCTCAACATAAGAATACCCGTTGATGTTGAGAGCTTCCTTGCGCAGCTGAAAGATTTCCCGATGTTGACATCAAGCGGTGTGGGGGTCTCCCGAGAATGTGAGAGACCGCGCGTTCGTCATCTTTGATGAAAACATGTATCGACATGAACGCGTACGCGAGCGTCGATAATGATCCGCAAACACCGTCTTACAGGCGAGTTGCCGTTCGTGACACAGAAGTCATGGGAAGACTATTGTTTCGAGGCGAGATACTGGCCTTATTACGCAACAGTCGTTGTCAGCACACTTGTGGTGCATGAGAGATGGAAGATCGCGAAGCGAATTGTCGCTGGGCCGCCGATATAGTCGGCAAGCTTCGCCATTGCGGGCCATACTGTCCTTACGAACGGCGATGCAATCTTACAAGCCGTGCCAAGGATGGTTCTCGAGGCGCCGGAAGGTATTCTCTTGAAATCAACATGAAGACATACTGTCTTGGGACCGAGAGAGATGTGGAGTAACGGCACAATGCTTCCAAGCTTACACGTGTAAGGCTCTGTATCGGGGTCTCGTGCGGCTTGACTGAGAAGGCAAACCATCGGTGGGGCCAAGATCATTCCATTAGCGATACAACAGACAATTCGGGAAGTTGCCTCAAACCATTCTGCGAGAGGAGGCCTGTTGAAAGGCTATTGCGAAGTCGTGAGAATGAGAACGACGCACGCACGTGACGTTGCCAAGTAGAACTGTCTCTGTTCACCCGATCAGTAAACGGAATTCCATCTTCCCCTAGACGCGTTCCGGTTGCCCGCATTTCGCGAATCGAGGTGTCACGGCTAAGCCGCAGCTAGTCGGTGTGCGATGAAGTGTCAGCCTGGACGCACAGATGCTGGTCAGAGCTGTGGCATGACGAACACGATGACGGACGAGCAAAAGCAATACTGCGCTTGCAGTAACATGCCGCTGTGAGTCAAGAGATTTTTGTAGGAACGGTGAGCATACCAGACGCCAGAGGAGATGTTGATCGCGATGGTTGAGCGGTCTGGACGCGAGATTGCATGCAGCAGTCGCGCTAGCATCGCGTTCGCGTTGACGCCAGGTCACATGCACGCGTCAATGACGTCAACCATGCTATTCAGTCACATCGCTTCTTTGTCCAAAGTGCATTGCGAGGTTCGGAGCGTTGCAGTAAAGTTTCGACTAGTACATCTAGATGCTCTTCCCGTGCCTATGTCGCCATACCTCTGCACACTAATCGGGAACCTGCATGTTAGATCTAAGATCGATCGCCTAGTGAGTGGGGTCTCCAGGAACTAGAGAGATGGCATTTGCTATTGACCATGATGTAGATGGCTGTGTGCCTGAAACTTCCCCATGTTCCGGTCCACTTGGTAGCCACACCTATGGACTGTTCGCCCTGGACTATGACGGATCGAGAGGAGTTCCTGAACGACCCCTTTAACTATGACCTCTTCACTTAACGCAAATGGCTAGTGACAGCGACAGCGTGCCTGGAGCCTAGACTTTCCAGCCTGCGCGGCAGCGGGTAACGCAGTGAGACGAGAGATCTGCTAACCTCAGACCTATCCAAGCATGCAGAACCCCGATCGTTGACGTAGCAAACACCATGACATGAAGGCGATCGTACGATACCTCGCATTGCGTCCTTGGGGGGCATAGGACACACGCTACGTCGAGGCAGCTGGATGTGTATAAGAACACCTAGATTCGCCCTTTCATATTCATCATTCAACTCACCAATTCAGCCATCTTCACAACTTCCACAACACACTTCCAATCAACCACCACAAACCCTTCCCCACAACCATCAACATGTCTGCCAACCCAGGAAACGTCGTCGGAGGCCACAAGGCCAACCTCAACAACCCCAGTGCGTATTCCACTTCCTCTTTCCAAAGTGCAAGACTGACATACTCCAGACACTTCCGACGAGTCCAAGCAGCACTCCAAGGAGGTGCTCCAGGACATCGAGAACGGTGGTGACGCCAACGCTGTCTCCTCCTCCGGTGGTGACAAGAACCCCAACAACGTCGCCGGTGGCCTCAAGGCTACCCTGAACAACCCCAACACCTCTGATGAGGCCAAGCAGAGCGCTAAGGAGAGGCTCGGCCAGGAGTAAGCAGATCAAATCTTGATAGAGGCCTTGACGCCTATGGGCGGATCGAAGAGGAGGGAGGCATTAAGCCTAGACTCGCGACCCTGATCGTGCAGCTTTACCACTAAATGATACCATCAACACCATCTTATTCACCTGCATCTGGTCGTGATGACCCTCTGGTTTCCTTTCCTTGCCAGCCCCGGTTTCAAAGTGGCCATGTATGAGTCTGCCGAGTACACGAATTGTAGAGCTTTAGTAGGCCTTCTTCCACGAGTTCAACGGAAGAGAGCCAACTAAAGCCCTACAATTCGTGTATTCAGCAAATTCATGCGGCCATGTATAGAACCACTTCAGACCATGCTAGCCCTGCCTACTCTTTATCTGTCTTCAGCAGCCCCATGACAACCTCAACCACCCTCCTGAAACCCTCCATCTCTTCCTCGACTGTCCCTCCCATACCCGCACTCGCGAAGCTCGAAGAGTTGCCCACATACACCGGCTTTCCCGTCTTGCGTGCGAGGACCTTGGACAACCGAGTCGCGAAGTCTAGCGTTCCGCCGTGTGTGTAGAGGGGGGTGCTGAGGGTTTCGACAGGTTTGGCTCTCTGCGAACACGCGTTAGCATATACACTTGGGAGGATGAGGGTAGGATATGTGGTGACTTACATTTGGCATCGCGTAGACAAAAGAGCCGAGGGGTGCAGAGGACGCGGATTCGGGAGTCGCGGTGGTGAGGAAGAGCAGTAGGTTTGGGCCATTGTTGGTGAGCTGAAGGTGGATGTTCGTGTGCGGCGCTCTTGGGAGCGGGAACGAGACTTCTATAGGCGCGCGCGACGCGTTGGTATCCGTGGTCGAAGCAGCCATTGCGGGTGTTGACAAGAAGTGTGGAAAGGGAAGTTGCGATGATGGCCGGAGGCAGGTGGGGCAACATCGCGAACCTCACCCGCGAGATTGTCCCCGCGACAAGGTCCCTGCGTGAGAACAATCTCAGTTGTATCGCACAACGCTACGGTCAGCTGTCCAACTCTGGAATCACGACATAGTCAAGACTCCGAGTTTTCCTTTATATCACTCGCAGCACACCACTTCCATACTGGAGACAAGACCATTGCGCAAACGCGCCGAAGCGGAAGAAAGAGCTATAGGATTGAGCAAGAGGTGATGCAACATTAATTTGCCTCATAAAACATGGAACCGGAGATGCAAGAGCCCTACGACCCCTCCAACGACCCAGAGGAACAAAAGCTCATAATCTCAGTTCTAGACTCCTTCCGGTACACACCCACGTGCCTCACCAACACAAGCCAAAAGCAGAAGTACTGATATTGTCACAGCTCATACCGCCGCCTCGCTCACTACAACGGAACACACCTCCGCCGACGCGCCTTCTACTCCCTCCCACAAGCCCACTGGACACTGCTATCCCGGCCACCCTTCTCTATCCTATCAACGCTCTCCCAAGTAGACGACTTAATTGACAGTAATGCCGAACTCGCCGAGGCAATCTTCACCGCAGGTTTCAAAGCCTTCTTAGCACCGACCCTGGATAGTGAATGGGTCGCTTCGATAGTTCCCGAGAAGTATGCACACGACGAGTACAAGATCTTCAACATCGTCATGGACGAGCTAGGAGCAAAGACCAGTCAAGGCGACGCGGAAAAAGCGCGAAGTTGCGTCAACCAGTTCTGGAGAGAGTGGAGTGAAGAAGGGGCAGTGGAGAGGACCAAGTGCTTCGATCCTGTTGTAGCGGCGCTGGAGCAAGAGTTCGCGTCACGCACTGGACCAGCTTCAGATCCAGATCGCGGGAATCTCAAAGTCTTGGTCCCGGGTGTTGGACTGGGACGCTTGGTCTTCGATATCTGCAGTGCTGGATTTAGCGTGGAGGGAAACGAGATCTCGTACCATATGCTCATGGCAAGCGCGTTGGTTCTGAACGAGACTAAAGGAGCTGGACAGTTCAAGATTGCTCCTTGGGCGCTGAATAGCTCGAATCATGTCTCTCGGGAAGACCAACTGAGAGCGGTCACAGTGCCGGATGTACATCCAGCGACCGAGCTGGCGAAGGAGGGAAGTTCGAAAGTGCCGGCAAGTGAACGAATGAGTATGTCAACGGGCGATTTTTGCGTCGTGTATGGCCGAGAGGATTACGCGGGCGAATTCGATGCGGTAGCGACCGTTTTCTTCATCGACACTGCACCGAACATTATCCGCTACATCGAGGCTGTTCACAACTGTTTAAAGTCTGGTGGTCTCTGGATCAACCTTGGTCCTCTGCTGTGGCATGCGCCACCACGGAGAGACGATGGTGAAGATGAGGCAGCGGAGGATGAAAGGAGAAGAGCCGATGTTGATGCAGGAATTGGCGATCCAGGTTCAGTAGAACTCACAAACGAGGAGGTGGTGGCACTGGTCGAGCACTTTGGTTTTGTGATGGAGAAGCAAGAGCATGGGACGATTGAAACGGGGTATATTTCCAACAAGCGCAGTATGCTGCAGTCTACATATCGTCCTTCTTTCTGGATAGCAAGGAAGAAGTAATGAAACCCTTGCACACGTACATCACAGATAGCTCACAGTACTGTTCCGCTCGAGCTTCTCATCATCACGATGTCACTGATGTTGATGTCTCGTGGACAGAGACAGCTTCAGTTGTAGTGATTGTATTGTAAATTGATCGTTCACGAGAAATCGCAAAATGAAGTATGAAGAAGAGGAGAACCTGCTGCCTAAGCCTCGAAACCAAAGTAAGAGCGAATATGGTATCATGCAACAAATATACAAAGAAATGCAAACGAGAAACCAATTCGTACGCTCAGTTGGAAAAACTTCTGACAGGTGTATAATGTGACAGAAGGTCAGAGACTGGCATGACAAGCCTACGAAGGTGGCAACAGAACTCAGGCGACCATGGTGGGACCTTTGCCTTCAGACCCACCCAGCCGAGCATTGGCATGTGCAAGGCTAGACTGTGCAGCTTCTTGGAGCTGCGTCTCTACATTCCTTTCCCGCTCCCGCTCGTGGGGGGTATTGCGGCCCGATGGTACCCTTGCATCGTGTGAACCATCGCGCTGCTGTGGGGGTGGTTGCGAATGCTGGTCTGACGGATGATGGACTTGCTGATGCTGCGGAGTGTGCTGACCGTTACCGTGCGGCAAGTGTGATGGCGTAAGCCCATGATGCGAAGGACTCATCATTGCAGCGGGACTCGCCGTGCTCGCGCGGTCGCCACTCTCGTGGTCACTAGTCTCACTCTGGCCATTGCTGGTGGTGCCAGGGGGGTACGTGTATCCGCCACGCAACTCTCCTTCTTTGACCTCTTTCCACGAGCATTTGGCATGTTTCTTCGTACAGCCAACACATGCTGTGAGATTCTTCAGACAATCCATGTGTAACCTCCGGCAGCGATCACACGGTGGTATTATGCGTTCACCCTTGGCCAATCCTTCCATCCTGTGTACCATCTCGACCTTGAAAGGGCCCCCATCGTCCTTTTCGGGTTGCTGACTGGCGCGTTGACTTGAGGCAGGAAGTAGGTTGGATGGAGTGTTTGGTATCGGCACGGGCGAGTTCATCATGGAATGCAGCTCAGACTCGTTGAGGGGTTGCGATGGTCTTGCGATGTGTTGCAGGGAACCCTGAGGCCCATCTGCGGGCTTGGGAACAGCCCTTGTGGGAATCGCTGCCGGGGTGGAGGGGTGAGAGTTGGTATGGCTGCCTACGGACGGCCTTCGCACATCGGCTGTGCTATTGGGCGGCTGCGAGGACGAACTCCGGCCATTTGTTGTGTGGAACTTGGCTAGCAATTCATGCCGGGTGGAGGATGAAGTGCCATGGCCGCGGCTATGACCGTGGCTGTGACCGTGGCCGTTGGCTTCATGGTGTTGGCGCGCATTGACAGCGACAAAACCACCGCCGCCAGGCGATGTCTGAGAAGTCTGGGTGTGCGGTTGGCCGTGCGCCTGGCCGTACCCTGAGCTCGGGGCGCTCGAGCTGCCACCATTCATAAGGGCGACATTCGAAGGGCTTGTGGGCCGGGGAATGGTAGGAGCTGGGCTCGCGGTCGCTCGTCGATCGAGGATGGCCTGCTTGCGGCCCTTCAGTCTGTGGTTGAGCTGCCGAGTGCGGGCAGCGACTGCGCGATGTTAGCCAATGTCAATGTTGATTAGTGTTAGTCGGTCAGACTCACCCTGATCGGCAAGTGAACATATCTGACTGAGATTCTTCTCCAGTATCTCCATTGTGCCCAGCTCCTTCTCCTCGTCTTCGATGATGGGCTGGGGTGGAATCATCTTTTGCGGGATGCCAGATGATATCAAGACGAAATCCTCCTCTGAGATCTGGACCCGGCACTGCTTCGTGTAGAACTGGCAGACGCGCACGCCTTCGCTCATCTGATCCAGCTGGAACTGCTCCGGCTTGTTGCGCGCAAACTCGACCACGTCCAGCCAAGTCACAGTGGTCCCATCCTTTCCGTGACTCTTGAGCACGCGCGGTGGTCCGTCGAACAGCCGCTCGAATCGCTTGATCAGGATGGGTCCTAATGGTCTTGCGCCCAGGTTGCAGGCCATGCTCTCATGGCGATCGAGCACGCCCTGGTAGTCGCTGAGGACTGAGAGGATGTTGGGTAGGGTGTCATCGTTCGTTATCAGCGGCAGGTCCTTCTCGAGGTGTCGTGCGAGGTAGTTGATCTGGAGGTGGTTGTGGGTCTTAGCGGCTTTGGGGACAGGCGCGGCCGCAGCCAGGTGCATCTCATGCGAAGGACTGCGTTTGCGCTTGAGGTCGGCGGGCAGCGGCGGCGCATGGTGTTGCGGCGGATGCGACGACATGGTGCGCTCAGCCGCAGCGTGCGAGTCGGCGGTGGCCATACCTTGGCTTGGGTGGGAGGGATACCAGGTTGATGAGTGCTGCGAGGGCGGAGTGGACGGATGGCAGAGATTCGAGGGTGGAGCGGAGGACGCTAGGCGAGGAAGTGGACAGCTCACAGCTCAGCACACTGCAGGCGCTCGCGTCTAGTCGCGAAGGCCCGAATTACAGGACAAGATACATCACGCAGAGAGAATCGCAGCGAGAGATGCGAGGGCGCGGGTGGAAAGCCAAACGGCTGCTCGGTGGCTGAAGTGCTCCGAACGGAAGGCAGAGGGGCGGACAAGGGAAGGCACGCAGCGCACCGGAAATAAGAAAGAGCTTTGCAGCGTACGCCTCCCACCCAATCAATACGCGTCTGCAGCTAGCAGCGGCCCCGGCGCCGACCTGCAATGAATGCGCATCGCTGATGATTCAGATTCTGCCGACCCGACCACGACAGCCACTGAGCGCCCTGCCACGGGCGGACACTCACGACAGCCTATTTGCACACGCCCGCAAGCCTGTGGCAGAAGTGTGTGAGGTGCCGTCTGAAGAAGAGGCCGGCACCGAGCACCCCGGGCTGGCGTCGTCGTCGTCTGGAGGGATGACGAAAAATGCCGCAGGCCCACGCGTCCTGGGTGAATCTAGCTGCTACGATGCAAGCGCCACAGCACGGCGGAGGTCTGGAAGCATGGCGGAAATCATGTTTCCACCCCTGCGTCGCCTGACACCAAAGCCACGCACGTGACCGGGATGTGGGGTGGGAGGAGCCTTTCCCGGAGCGGCACAGACCACCATCTCTTACTGGGCGCGGCTGCTGCACGTCACCACAAGCTTCAACATCCAAAACGCGTCTCTCCCTCTCCACGCTACTACCATGTCTGAGCGAGGCGCATTCCGGGGTCGAGGCGGAGGTCGGGGCGGCGACCGCGGGGGACGCGGTGGCGGTCGTGGCGGTGCACAAGCGGGCGGTGCGGGCGGACAGACTGAGCGCCCGAAGAAAGAGAACATTCTTGACCTGAGCAAGTACATGGACAAGCAGATCACTGTCAAGTTCAGTGGCGGACGAGAAGGTATGCAAGGCTGGACAATTGGGAAGGAGCGCTGGGGGCTAACCTATTGCAGTCATTGGCACGCTCAAAGGCTACGACCAGCTCATGAACCTTGTCCTGGATGAGGTTAAAGAAGCCCTGACTGGTATGTGTCTGACCTTCGCGCTCATATCGACCTATCTGACAGTATCCAGACGAGGACGGCAACATCCGGTATCGCAAGCTTGGCCTGATTGTCGCGCGCGGTACTCTTCTGGTCGTCATCTCGCCCGTCGACGGAAGCGAAGAAATCCCGAACCCGTTCATACAGGAGGAGGAATGATCGAGACATAAGTAAGAGGTGTTTACTTCTTGCTCCAGGCCTGGGGCGACCGGCTCTGGGCAGAGCAGCGGCGAGGATCAGGGACGTTGGACGGGCAGTGATACCCAGTACGATACCCACGAGGCAGATGCAAAGTGCAACTTCGACACACAAGTGGTGTCTACAATATTACAGCTTGTCAGAGCTAGCATGCTCTTGAAGCCAACGGCCAAGCAATACACAAAAGTTATGAAGTCTGGTCAAAAACATCATTTGGATGTCTAAGTTCAGTAATCTGCTTCAGAGGCGCAGCTGCAACTGTCATTTTGGTTCATTGATTAGCAGGCTCACTACAGAAGACTCACTGACTTTGGCGTACTTGCGGCTGACCCTACCAAGCAGATTATGTCAATTGTCACGATAGGCGTTAACTGCATGGCTTCTATCACCAACAGCGAATTTGTTCTTGTCGCAAACGCCTCTAGATCTGATTGCTCACACGATTTTTACTGCAGCCAAGAGTTTGTTTCGATTCCGGCAACGTCATGGTGCTAAGTGTGTGTCGCTTGATCGCAACGTCGGAATGTTCGGAATGCTGTTCCGACACTGCTCCTTTCACTCAACACAACCCCTCGTCACACTCAACCTTTGGTCATCGGCGATCACCAAGCAAAGTCTGATCGAATAACAGGACACCGGATCAAATTGCCGACGTCAGGTACCCGCTCTTCTCAGCAGAGCCCATTACCACAGATGGCTTAACTAGCGCAAGTCGGCATGACGTCGAGTTGATGTCAAAGGTGGTGACGCTATCATATGGGATTATAGAAAGCCCATGTTGAAAGTTTACTTCACATAGCACACGACACTCATCTTCCTACCCAACAACCTTTACATTTACCCATCCACTACATTACATTTCAAAGCTCGCGATTCATATCAAATACATATTACAAACATGAGCCAGAACCAGAACCCCGATGCTGTCAGCGACGGTCGCCAATTCGCTGGACACGTCGCGCCCAGTGAGCCCCTCATGAAAGGTGGTGTAAGTACATGCAGACCTTTCTCAATCTTGTCACACAATCTTGCTTGATAGTCTTCTGAACTCATTGGAGCCCCCGTCAACACTACCGAGCTCCAAAACACGTTTCTGTCGAACCCAACTAACAAACCTAGCACCAACCCGGAAAGCTCGTCGGCAACGACGCCGTCCCCGAGTTCAACGCACAAACGCTCCCCGCCGGCACCGCGCCAGCGTCCAAGACCTTCCAGCCCAACCCCGACCTAAACAACCAAAAGATGTACCACCAAGCCTCCGACACCCTCCAAGGCGCCACTTCAGGTGACGTTCACACTGGTCTCGGCCAGCCAGTCCAAGGCCAAACATCGCAAGAACTCCACGATGGTTCCAGCAAGGGCCAGGGCCTGGCCGGCCTGGCTAGCGGCGTCAAGGACCAGACAACTGGTGGTGATATCAGGGAATTGAAGGATGATCCTGCACATGCTGCTCAGAGGAATCTTGATGATGTGCCTACTGGTCAGAGGGGTAATGTTGGTGGGCCTCCTGCTGAGGAGAGGGAGCCTTCATCTGCTTAGGTACATTTCTTTTCAAAGGATGATTGTATGAGTGTGTCACTTGTAGCATGGCTGTATCGATCAGTCTCTGCTGAATTGTAAAAGTTGCCTTGGATGCTACAATAGCCCGAGGTTAGATGGAAGTAATGAAATAAACGACCAACTATATGACCGTCAACTCCCCTTATGATGTGAGCAAGGGCTTGTTGTATTCACTAAACACAGGCTTCATATCCCATGAGGGAATGCAGTCGACCCCGTCAACACCGTACCACACAACTCAGGAGTCTTTTCGAAAAACTCTTGAAACAGTTCAAGCATGGCAGTTTCAGTCCCTGGATAATGTTACCAGACCATTTCATCGAACAAAGTCATCAATGAACATACCTTGTGGGCTAACTAGGCCAATGGCACCTGGAATGTACTCTACATTGCCCGTGACTGATGATTTGTACGGATACTGGCCATCTGCAACATGTGAGTAAAGCGCTCGAGAACGCTTCCATAGATCGTGGCTCACAGGGAAGGGTGAAAAACGGTAAGCCCGCAAGGACAGGCATATGGCTTGGCTTGTAACCAAAACCTTGCTTCTTGATTGCGCCTTCTTCGAGTGATCTCATGCGCGGGATCAGCATTGTTTAGCTTCTCTCACCACCTGCTCGCTTACTTATGATATTCATGTCGATACATAAGTTCAGTATCTCCACTCGGGAAGATGAGTATCTTATCCAGACTCTGTTCATCGGATGGCTGCGGTAGTATTGCAGTACGTATCCAGTCCCTGAAAGTGTCACGCTCCTTGACGGCTTGCTCATATTGCTCCACCGTAAGGTCCTTGCCAAGAGACCTTAAAGCGCGATTAGTCTAGTGTTATCCTCTCTTGGACACAGTATCATACCATTTATATTGAATATAAGGATCAGCAAATGCCTTCTCATGGAACTCTTTCTCGTAGTCTCGCACAAATTTTTGGCAGTTTTGGTAGCAGTCATATAGCTGAATATGAGCAACAGTCTGCTGTGAACATCAGCAAATGTTCGGTAAGATAGGAACGGGGACGCTCACAGTATCAAGATAATTCTTCAGTGAAGTCCCACCAGCGATGCTTTGCCGCCTGAAGAGGCCATCTACATCGAGTTTCTTCCGCTTGACCTGCAGGAAGTCCTCCATGTGACGTATGAAACGCCCCGTATGGGATAGATACTTGTTGTGGCATCCCGAGAAGATATCAGTGGGGTACAGTAGCTCAATTTTGGCCGCGCGCGTTTTCTTGGTGGTCTCGTGGGGACCCAACGTTCGGGATATCGTGGTGGCCATCTGGATGCTGCGCGTAAAGAAGCCGACAGTATCAAGTTCTCTGTTTGTGCGTCAGTCTCTTTACAGGTGGAAATGACCCCTCATACTTACTTCGACACTGGTACAATCCCCTCCGTCGATATGCCACCTAAGGATAGGCGAAGTCCAAACAAGCCGTGATCGGCTGCGGGGCCTACTACGCTTCCAAATGCTACGGATATATTAGTCCGACAGAATGTTCGACCAAGAACTGAGCTTACTATCAGTGCCTAAAGTGGCATCTATCCAGTCGTAAGCCGATGCTGCTGTAGCGCTTCCAGTGCTACTACCACTGGGTTCTTGATAGCCATCGCCCCTAGGATTAAACGGTGCAGAGTAGTCAATCCAATCCCGCGCATTCTCTCCAGAGGCGAATTGGACTGTCTTTGTTTTCCCCACAATAACTGCTCCCGCCTCCAAAAGCTTTGTAACACATGCAGCGCTGCGTGCTTGCTCTGCATGAAGAGCTTGGTAAGCACGACTGCCGGCACTTGTCCGCACACCTTCCAGGTCGATATTGTCCTTGATAGCTATTCTCATACCAGATAGAGGCTTGGTATCGGAGGGCTTTTCGTAGTAGCAACGACTGGGGACTGGAATCGCAGCTGTTCCAGGGATGTTATATCTGAAAATGGGCTATCAGCAGATGACCGTGCGGAAGAAGCCCCATGTTGCTGAGATTAATAAGTACCCACGTATGCTCTCTATGCTCATCAGGCACTACCGGAAACTGAAAAGCTTCGTGCGTGTCGTCAAACAGGCGCCATGCCTGCCGAATGCCAACGTTGGAGGCAAAATATGGTCCACCGCGGAAGCTAGATAGGTCTCTATTCGAGTTCACCACCACGGCGTGGACGCTTTGGTTTTTCCAGTCTTCCGGTACGCTGATGGCCAAAGTGTCTAGGTAAAGTTTCGTGTTTGCGGAAACCAAGAAGTAGACGTGTTTCAGGAAATTCTTATTGAATACATCGTCTGTTTTGAGCCAGGACTCACTGGTGGAGAATAGTTTGCGTTCTGACGCATCCATCACGTTCTCAAGAACAAACAACGTGATTGGAATAGGTCCATCGTTAAAGTCAAGCTCGTTACCAAAGACACATTCGCGGGACCGTGGGGGTATCGACGTCAAGCGTGATGGAATGTAGTACGAATTCGCTCCGACGCGAGTAAGCGTCGCAGTAGGAATGGCAGACATTGTGACGATTGTTGGCTCGCATGCGAGTGAAGAGTATGCAGAGGTGTATCTAAGAAGTCATCCAGGCATCGGGAGAAATCTAAGGAAGGTGTGAGTCTTTTGTTTGTACGACATCCGCTGTTGGTCAATGCCTCTCGAGGATCGCACGTGCACCTTCCTGTGTGAAGAAACTAGAAGACTTGTTTGACCTTGCCAACGAAATAAATGCTCGAGCAAGATGGTGCAGTAAACGTGTTACTATGATGCTACATAAACATTAAACTATCTCCTGCTGCCCTGAGGACCAGACAGGATGCATCCGTCAGCACACTCCGGATCCGTGCTGTTGTAAGCAATCTGTCCTACACTGCCACCAGGCTCGATGCTAGGATCACGCGGGCTCTGGAACATACGTCCAGTCTCCGGTGAAAGAAGCGTCTCGATGATATCGCCGAAGGGGTTGCGGATATGGGCAATGGGCTGGCCCTTGGTGACTGGCTCATCGACCTGTACAAGCCTCTCGACGAAGCCTCCGTACTGCGACCATGTGTCGTGGAAAGTGGTGATCATGTATGTGTTGCTGAGATCCGGCTCCACGGTCTCGTTTGTGCCCGTCATCTTGAGGTCGACCATGACGCGGTTTACGTAGTCGACTACGCGGTCGATCAGGCTGTTGTTCCAGACCTTTGCTTGTCCCATTTCTACCGTGAGCGAGGGAATGCCGTAATCGACGAAGGTTGTTTCAATGGATCCTGGCTCACCAGGATCGATCTTGAGGGTATCGGGTTGCAGGAGTTTGGCGAGGCGCTCGACGTAGGGGAGGCGGAAGTCGGAGTAGCACCACAGCGAGGTCTCTCCGCCGGAACTAGGGGTGTCTAAATCATGTTAGCTGAGTTTTTCTGAGCGTTGGACGAAGTGAGCTTACGCAGGTCAATACCAACGTCAACGTTTGACGTGTTGGCCCAGATCTGGTTCCAGATGTTGTACGCCAAGATATCAGGACCACTGCCTCCTTCCATAGCCGAGACACCTGGGAAGATGCGGTTGACGTTCGTGAGAGAACCACTGGCGCCAGACGTGAAGTAGTTTCGCTGGTTGAGGTAGATACCCATGGGGTTGACCGTCGGAATACCAATGACTAGAGAACTTTAGTAGTGATCTTTACGGAGATGCACGGTACATACCCGTGCCATTGAGCGTCGCGACTTGGTCTTGGAGCTGCTCGAACATGCGCTGAACCACGCGAACCGGGTTCAACTCGTCGCCGTGAATCGAGGCTGAAAGCGACAGCTTCTTGCCCGTGTGCAGACTTTCTGGGGTTCCGCGCGCAACCATAATGGGAATATGCACGGGATGTCCGCCATTGAGCTCGCCAGCTCGCATGTAGTACTTGGACACGGTTTGCGGAGGCACGTCAGCGAGGTCGAGACCGCTGATGACCGGGACGCCATTCACGACATCGCCCGTGAAGTTTACAGCAGAAACGCTGCTGGCGAGGACAGCCGTGGCTGCGGCTACGCGAGAGATGAGCTGCATGGTCGCGTTAGTTGGCTGAGGCTACGCAGGTACAATTGACATGTCCGACTCACCAGCTCTGCTTTATAGTGCTGACTTCTCGCGATAAGAGACCAGCCATGGTAGTTCCACGGTCCATACTAGCTCCGCTCTTTGCGCAAACAGGAAGGTCCACATGGGTTTTGTCCACTCGAGTGACGATGCCCAGAGGCGACTGCATGCCAATGCTCGGCGTGCCTGTCAGGCCGAACCCAAGTTCGCGGATTTGCGGTGCAATCTATCGTGTTTTACGGCCGGTGCCTGGCGATCATCTCTCTATTGGATATATGCGGATGGTCACAAGTTGAGAACACAATGGCTCTCGAAGCGAAGTTATGTTCGTGGACTTCGAGCTGATGTTGTGGAAGCCATAGCTCGCGCGAGTCATGTAGCGCCGGTATCGATAAGCTCACTGTCAGCATTGGACATCACGGTGACCGTCAGACCTTCAAGCTTTTCACCAATTTCGGCGTACCGGAAATATTCATTTTATAACTAGCAAACATCATCTCCGTATGGCCGTCGCAGTCGTTAGCCACGCGTTGACATCGTCGCTCTCACCATTACCCTCGCCACTGATCATCCCATTGTTCCTGTCTTGCTTTGCATTCCGCAATTTCTTGGGCTGAAAAGCCACAGCGCTCAAGCTCTTCTTCTATCTTTGGCTCCTCGCACTTCTTCGGGCAGAAAGAGAATAGAGAGGACACTGACGAGATTGCGCGAGCGATGATGTTACGCTTCGCTTTGGGACGTGGAGGGAGGTCTGCTGGGAAAGGAGTGAAATAGTACGCGGGATTAATGTTGTTTGCCATGTCTAGTGGAGTAAGTTGAAGCGTGTTCCAAGAGAAGTGTCAACAACGAAGCGATTTGAGCCGTAACGAGGGGGCTGTGGCTCTAGAAGTAGCGAGACTCTCACACTCAGCACCCGATTGTAGAAGAAGCACGCAAGTGAAAGCTTTCTATATAAGTCGCAGAAGCGCCTGCCGCCTACATACACCTCAGACAAGGGAAAAGCTAGACAGATCTGGAGACAAGATTACGATGAAAAAGTTCAAAGTAGCCCACTCCCAGATAATGCAGGCTCCAGAGTGTCCAATTTTCTTCTTGTATTTAGTGCATACTTGCGCGCAACCTCCTTAGCTGCGCATAAAGCACCTGTAGCTTCCAAAACCTGAGCGCTCGCAAGACATCCATGTTCATACGATGCTAGACTCTAAGCATGCCTTGCCATACGTCCGTAAGTATCCCCATTCATCTTCATAGCTTCCGCTCCTCCAATCCCAGTGCTTCATTCCCGCATCCAACTCAGACACCTTCTGCATCCATACGTCTACTCCTCACGGGTCACAGCCCAGTGAATGACAATCCCGATGATACTGCTCAAACAGATGCCAAGCATAATCAGGAGCCAGAACATCAGACTTCGAGACCGGTTCACACCGTGAGAGCGCGGGGCCTCACCAGGTGCAGCCAACTCGATGTCGGGCGTTCGATAAGTGTGGTCGTGAGACACTTGTTTGTCGGTCTGAGTAGGGCGCGCAGATGAGCCTTGCAGCCGCTTTAAGAAGGACTGCTTCTGTGGAGGACGCGGCGGAAGCTCGGTTGGGAAGATCGAGGAAATTTGCTCTGGAGATGTACGTGGGAAAGAGGTGTAGTATTCCAAGTGTCCAGATCGAATGCAAACTGGTGCAGGCAGATGAGTGTCGCGCTGAGCAGAGCCGGGGTGAGACTTTTCTGCGTCCGCGCTTTCGGTAACGGTGCCCATGGGCTCAGGCTTCGTGTGCTCTGACAGCGATGCACGTGGAAAGTACATGTAGCCTCGTCCAGATTGAATGGAGCAATAAGTATTCATCTGAGCGTCGCGCTCAGCAGAGCCGGGGTGAGACTTCTCTCCGTCCGCGCTCTCGGTAGCGGAGTCCGTGGGCTGAGGCTTCGTGTGCTCTGATAGCGATGAGAGAACGACGTCGGCAATGTCAACAGGCGGTAGTTCGGCAGCTGCTACATCAGATGTGGTGGTTGTCCCTTCTGTAGCCGCAGATGATCCGGAGGTCGACATGGTCTTTGCTATCGAACTAGCGTCAACGGCGGGAGTCTCGTCTTCGACTGTCGGGAACCGACGGGGTTGATCCATTGGGGGAGTGAGCTCGGCAGAAGGAGTCATGGCTTTGGAGAAGGCCGTAACTGAACTTCCTGGTGTGGTATGGGTCAGAGTTGAGAGTTACAGGTAACGAGACGCGTTTGATGTGACGCAAACTTGGGCCTGGATAGTGGGCCCATTTATCGGAGGTGAGCGCTGGTTTTGAACCGACCCTTTCACTGACGTTGCGCTCCCCGGGGTGGTGAAGCCGAAAGAGGCTAGTGGGGGAAGTCATTTCATCTTCCACTGAGCTACATGGTTTGCCATGACCTGGCTCAAGCACGTGGAAAGAGAAAGAACGGCAAGAAACTGAGCAAACACCCATGGGACGTGATAATAGAAACGTTTTGTTACATAGCGATGCTAATAATCCAAACATCCAAAAGAAAACTACCCATAACATGCCATAGCCCCGTCATCTGTCTGCCTCTATATAATCATAACAACGTCCGCCCTACTCGATATCGACCTTACGAATCTCAACGTACCCAGAGTCCAGCTTCGGCACCTCAACTCTCAGCACACCGTCCTCCAGCTTTGCTGTAATGCCATCAGCATCAACGCTGGCAGGGTTGGCCCTCGTCCCAAGGCGAATCTTCCTCTCGAAAGCTCCAACCTTACGCTCGTTCAGGGCCAGTGTCTTCAAGAACTCTTCGTCACCAGGGCGGTATATCACGCCAGCGATGCTGAGCTCGCTCTTCTCAGCATCCCAGTTCACACCAACATCTTCCTTCTTGGCGCCGGGCAGCGAGACGTGAACGACGTAGGCAGACTCGGTGTCAAAGATATCGGCGTCGGGTGTGTAGTCGTCGGCGTCGGTGGGCTTGGTAGCGTTGGTGGTGTTGGAAGGGTGGCTGTCAGTGAATTGGTTGAACAGCTGAGCGGCAAGGGTGGAGGGGTCGAAGGAGTTCCAGGCGTTACCACTGGCACCGAAAGGTCCGCCTCCCATGCCCCCGAAGGGTCCTCCGCGTGCCCATGGACCCCAGCCTCCGCGATGGCCGCGATGATGTGGTCCATGACGGGGTGAGCCTCCGTAGGGGTGGGAGTGATGATGTGGGCCAGAGCCTCCAGGACCGCCCTGGCCACAGCGCCCTCGACGTCCTCCACCCCAGCGACCGTGTGGTCGGCCACCATTGTGAGCGTCGTTATCAGACCCAGAGTTACCCGATGGATCTTCACCGTTGTCGTACTCGGTGTTCATCGTAGCATCCTTTTCGGCTTCTGGCTGTTCATTGCGGTCCTGGTTTGGCTCGCCGGTAGCTCCCTCATGACGACGTTCGGGGCGACCATGAGGAGGCCCACCACGGTGAGGCATGCCCCTTTCGCCACC